GCCGCGCTGCGATAGACTAGGGCTTTGCATGTCTGAGCTCATCCCAGTGCTGAGGAGTATGAGCGCTGACATGTCCTGGTGGTGAGACTCTGGCTCAGACTGTGGATGCCAGAGTTAGCACAGGATCCGACACTGGCTCCTCCTGAGGCCTTGGGCACACTGCCTAACTTCTCCTCCCTCAGAAAGAGAATATGAATAACGGTACTTACGGGCCCGGGTCATAGCCTAGCGGTTAAAGTCCTTGCCTTGCAGGCTCCAGGATTCCGTATGGGTGCTAGTTCATGTCCCAGCTGCTCCACTTCCCATCCAGCCTCCTGCTTGTGCCCTGGGAAAGCAGTCGAGGATGGCCCAAAGCCTTGGGACCCTGCACCTGTGTGGGAGACCCAAAAGATACTCCTGGCTTCAGATCAGTTCAACTCCAGCAGTGTGGCCACTTGAGGAGTAAAGCAGTGGATGGAAGTACTCTGTCTCTTCTTTTCTCTGTAAATCTGACTTTCCAATAAAAGCAAATAAAAACAAAACAAAACAGTGCTCCGTCCTCGTGCTGACACAGGAATCAGGAGGATGGACGGGGATCTGGATGGAGAACACTGCCCACAGCGCTGGCTGCTACCTGCCGTGTGCTGTTTTAAATCCTCACCTGTAATCCAAGGTGGCCACAGGGACCTGCCTCCACATTTTACTCCCAGACCTGCCCAACACAGGTAAACCAAAAGAGAAAGCTTTAAATCTCTCTGGCTTTTAAGTTTCAGACTTAAAGTTCAACATAAGCATTTTTACTTAAATCCAAAATTGTGCAAATAAAATTCTATCTTAACACATGTGTATCCACACTCCTTTGATAGCTTATTTTTATTATTTATTTATTAATGTACACCTGGGGACCATGCACTAAGTCCTTCTGACTGGTTGGTGTTGATCTACTTTGGGAAGAGATGGGATGGCACTGTCATTGCAGCAAATGGTCAGTAGATGGCGGTGCAGGGAGCAATCTCTGCAAGCTGACTCCGGAACAGGTTATCAGAAGAAAAGAAAGGCTGAAGACAAATTGGCAACCCCTGTTCACAATAGTTTTAGGGAAATTTTTAAAGTTAAAACGAAATGAATGTATTTTTTCACATTGCACTGCTAGAGGAAGTATCTATTTGTCTACATCCTCCACCTTCCCAGGAGGCAACAGACCTCATAGCAAAGTATTTCACACAAGTCTACTTGATCACATCCTCAAAGGATGAGGATGCTAAGAATTGGTCTAAGGTTAACATAAAGGTTGATCTACAAGAGTGACAGTCAGATGGGGGGAGGGGTGGTCTGCAGGGGGTTGGTGAGTCTTGCCAAATACATTTGACAGAAACTGGATGCTTGTGTGATTGTCATAACTCGAGGGAGAGTTTGCTGCAGCCTCCAAGGGCCGAGACCAGATGTCACGGAGCAACGATGCAAAGGACAGTCTCCCAGGACAAAAACGTTCCCTGGCCCCCAGATGTCATCTGCACTTAATCCTCGTGCGCAGGCGTACAACTCACTCATGGAACTATCTTCAAGGGGGGAAAATTGACAAACTTAATTTAAAAAAAATAGAGGACCGTTAACAAAATATGAAGGATGGCTCTTCAATTCATGATCAAGAAACCCTTAAAAGGGATGTTGCGGAACTATGGATCCTAATTATAAATCTCACATAGCAAAAATTTACAAAAGGAAAAATTTTAGCCATATTCCATAAATCAGGCTCTTAAAGCGTGCATACGTTATAAGTCGGGTTTTTTTCTTTTTTAATTTACATACCTGAATATGAGGATGTACATGGTGGTTGTCCGGGAATGATGCAATTATGTATTTTGTTCTCATTTCCTGCTATTTTGTATTTTTTTTCTTCAATGGACACTGTCCTTACATGTGAATTTTAAGGAGAAGTTTGAGGACCACGGCAGCTGCTTCTTTTCAAGAGAATCATGCAACAAAATGCTTCAAGCTAAAACTAAGGTTTAAAAGAAAAACCAAACTTTAAAATAGTAACTTTTTCCTTAATACATCCCTAAATTTCCCTGCCTTTATGAATCTCTATTCTCCACTTCCATAAATCTGACTTTTTTTTTTCAGATTTCATGTGTGAGATCACATAATATCATGTTTCTGTGCTTGGCTTAACTAAAACATCCTTCAACCTCACTCACATTTTCACACATTATAGGAGCTCCTTCTCTTTAAAGGGTGAATGCTCTTTTGTTACACATGTCACATTGTCTTTATGCATTGATCTATTGATAGATGATTAGATCGTGTCTTGGCCATTGTCAACAGGTACAGAGTTGACGCGTGCAGAGGTCTCCTCAATATGTTGATGTGAATTCTTTGATTAGATGAACAAAAGTGAGATTGCTGGATCACATGGTATTTAGGTATATTCTTATTTTTTAAAAGAAATTCCCATATTGTTTTCTAGTAAAAAGTCATGCTTTTCATTATGCTTGCCTGGTATTACGTAATCTTTCTGTTTCCTTTGTTCCAATCATTTTCTCAATATATCCAGGCTTATTTTACCTTTTCTAACCTGAAATTTATTTATTTATTGTGATCTAGAATGTTAGCTTGTTGATCATTTTCTCAAGCTCTTCTAGGGTAAGGCAAACTGAAGAATAGACATGCCAAATTTGTTAGTGAAAAACATTTCAACTGTATAGGCCTGGTGTGATGGCCTAGTGGCTAAAATCCTTGCCTTGCATGTGCCAGGATCCCATATATGCACCGGTTCATGTCCCAGCTGCTCCACTTCCCATCTAGCTCTCTGCTTGTGGCCTGGGAAAGCAGTTGAGGTCGGCCCAAAGCCTTGGGACCCTGCACCCGCATGGGAGGCCTGGAGGAAAGGGCTCCTGACTTTGGAAAAGCTCAGCTCTGGCCATTGCACTCACTTGGGGAGTGAAGCAGCAGACGAAAGATGTTTCTCTGTGTATCTCCTTTTCTTTGGATATCTATCTTTCCAAAAATTCAATGGTACTCCTCAAGGCCTTGCATTAGCTTTCTGGGTGTTCTTAGAATGGTACTAAAATATGAGAAGACAGGGAACTGGGCTACCGCATATTTTGTCAGCAACACAGCCATACCACAAGCTAACATTCTAAGTTATGAAGTCTCATCTGGGTGACAAACGATATAAGAATACAAGCGTTCAAATCTCCTACTGTAACTTTCACTAAGGGAGTACTCAGAGCCAACAGATGACATCTGACAAAGTAGAACTAGGTAATACATGTCCACCTTTCAGCTGACTGGCGAATACGAGTGAAGCCTGGTTTGTGTGTAAATCAAAGCCATTCGGTTGCTAGACATGTGTAGTTATCATCCAGGAAGCCAATGCTATCATTTGATGAGAGTTCCAAGCCCAATTTGCACACAGGAACAGAAAAGCAAGCCCAAGAAAGACCTGTGATCGGGGGCGCCCGGAGCTCCATCCCTCGGCAGCTGCTTGTGTGTCTGAGAAATGTCTCCTGGCTCAGCGCTTAGCCTGAGCCATCAAGGGAGGTGGTTACTCTTCCTTCCGTCCAAAACTCATGGCAGCCATTCCCGGTTCTCCAATGACACTTTCCCACTCATATTGCATGGAGCACCCCTCTGGGTTTTTCGGGGAACTCTGTCACATGTTTGGTTATGAAGAGACACTTGGTGTTGGAGAACTCGGGGAGTTCATGTCCCATCACAGAGAATGTGTGGCAGCCCAGGCAATAGAAAATGGCGACAGTCAAGCTGGACCCCCCTAAAATATTCTGACGTGCCCACAAGTTGACCTTTGCCACGACCTCAAGTTCTAGGGGAGTCCTTCCTATGGGTGAGAGTGTGTATCTCAAGAAAATATCTCCTTTCTTTGTCTAGCAGAACCTCTGAAGGTCACATCCTGTGTGACACATCCCGGAAGACCAGATTACAGAGACCCAGGAGCAGAATCAAGTCTCATCGTTGCTCCTAACGGTGCCGGGCAGTTGGGCAGCAGACGGTGAACCTTCCCCTTAGCCTCAGATCAGCACCCGGCTACAAAGTTTCGCAACAGGCCAGGCAAAGGCACACAGGTCCTTTGCAGGTTTGAGGTTTGTCGTCACCTTTGCCAGAGGGTTGGCCAGTTGAGGGCGGCGTGCCCAGCCTCGAGTAGACAAGAATTCCTGACAGTTCCCTTCTCGTCACCGTGTGCCTGCGTTCGCCTAGTTGACTGGACGGTCTTTTGTGCTCATGACAATGTTAGCCTAGTTGACTGGATGGTTTTTCATGCTGGGGTTGCGGTTAAACCCCCCACCCCACACACACACAGCGGTCACTGGGACCGCCCCCTCTTCCACGTGCAGGCACGGGACGGTCGGCCAAGCTTCTGAGTCCGCCTCCTACACACTTTTGGGACAGATTCGTCCAACTCGCGAAAGGTGGATAACGTTTCTAAGAATTGGGCACGTGCCCGGGGCCCCAGGCTCCACAGACCCGCACCCCACAGCTTGCCTTGACAGTCCGCCCTCCGCCGGGCACGGTCGCCCTCCTTCGCTCGCCTGAGGAAAATCCAGCCAAGTTCAAGATCCGAAACGTCTACACGCTGGGAAGACAGGATTTGAAACAGCACAAAAAGGGCATTTCAGTCTCCGAAAAAAATGTGAACTACTGTTAAAAGCAACACGTTCAGTTTATCAAAAGCATTTGTCCAAATTCGGCTTCCTCAGAGACTCAGAAATTTGGGGAGTAACACGTGCACAACCACAGGAGTTGTCTGCAAGTTGTGAGGAACCCGACGGGGATTTTCTCTGTCACCTCGGCCAGGAGGCCTCGACGAAGCCTTGGACACCCAACCCCGAGGGCATTGACTCCGCCACGCCGACAGGAGGCGCTCGTGCACACGCACCTTTCCCGCCACCTCCGGGCACGCCCCAGCCCGGCGTCTCCCGGCCTTCTTGAGAGCCCGCCGGGAAGTTCCTCTTCCGGGGTGTGCGGGACCCGGATGTAAGCGTGCTATATAAGCGCCGCCCCGCGCCCGTGTGGTTCTTTCGGGAAGACGCTGTCGCGGCTGCCGGGAGGGCTTCGTCGGCCGCTCCGGCTCCTGACTCACCGCTGTTCGCTCTCGCCGAGGAACAAGTCGGTCAGGAAGCCGCGCCACAGCCATGGTGAGAGCGGCGGCCCTCTGGGACCGTGCCGGGCTGGGGCGGAGGGAGGCGGCGAGGATGAGCCGGCGTGGGCGGGCGGCATGGCTGCGGCACGGAGTGTGCGAGCCCAGGTGGACAGGGGGCACGGCTGCGGTGTGGGGTGGACGAGCGCGGGTGGACAGGGGGCACGGCTGCGGTGTGGGGTGGACGAGATCTCAGGTGGACAGGGGCACGGCTCCCACACGGGGTGTGCGAGCCCAGGTGGACAGGGGTACGGCTGCGGTGTGGGGTGGACGAGCGCGGGTGGACGGGGCAGGCTGCGGTGTGGGGTGGACGAGCGCGGGTGGACGGGGCAGGCTGCGGTCTGGGGTGGACGAGCGCGGGTGGACAGGGGCAGGCTGCGGCACGGGGTGGGTAGGGGCACGGCTCCCGCACGGGGCAGGCTGCTGCGGGACGCTCAGGTGTTACAGGGGGCGGCCGGCGGCCAGGCCGAGCTCGGGATGAACGAGTAAACCTGGGGCTGCTGTGAGACGCTCGTGGTCCAGGAATGAATGGCGATTCCTGGCATGCTCACGGAGCCCCGTGCTCCCGCAGGCTTTTAAGGACACCGGCAAGACGCCCGTGGAGCCCGAGGTGGCCATCCACCGCATCAGGATCACGCTGACCAGCCGCAACGTCAAGTCCCTGGAGAAGGGTCGGTACTTAGTGGGGTGGTGGGTTGGACCTAGTGAGACGGGGGTGAGGGAAGGAGCCATTTGTTTGAATAGTTGTTGATCAAATGGTAGCGTAGCTCCCATGTTCTTAATTGTCTCCCTGCTGCACTTTCAGTCCCAGCTAATGGTAAGGCCCGACACAGCTGGCTATGAGGAAATACCTGTGTTGAATGCACGGTGATAACTTCATACGCTATTCTGAGCCGGCAGAGGGGAGCAGTGTTAGGCTGCCTGTGTAGTGAATGAGCTTGTAAGACTTTTTTTCCCCTTGCTAGTGTGTGCTGACTTGATCAGAGGAGCAAAGGAGAAGAATCTGAAAGTGAAAGGACCAGTTCGGATGCCTACCAAGGTAAAATAGACCCCAGGAACATGTCTCGTGTTGAGTGCTGGGGTTAAGTACCTCGTCAGCAGTGAGTGCCTGCAGGAGCTGCGGGTTGTCACCAGCTGCGGGCCTGGCTCACGGATTGATGGGAACTGCACCTGCTAACGCAGGCCCTTTCAGAGGAACATGCCCTGTGTAATTGTTTTAGCAGATGTCCTACAGTAAACATTTGGTCTCCTTTGTTGCAGACTTTGCGAATCACTACCAGAAAAACGCCCTGTGGGGAAGGATCCAAGACCTGGGACCGCTTCCAGATGAGGATCCACAAGCGGCTCATCGACCTGCACAGTCCTTCGGAGATTGTGAAGCAGATCACCTCCATCAGCATTGAGCCAGGGGTGGAGGTGGAGGTCACCATCGCAGATGCCTAAGCCCACCGACTATTTTAATAAATTGATTGCCGGTTGTTAACACTTCGTGGTCTTCATTATTTAGGGTGCCAATAAATTAAGGGGTATGGAGGTGCTATTTGAAGTTCATTTGCCTTTTCAGTTGACATAATGGTTGTGGATAGCCTGTAGTGGGTCATTGTTCATGTGTTCTAGAGGCAGCTAAACGAGTTGGTTTAATTTTATCCATTATTTGGAAACAGTTTTTAGTACATAAGACCTGACTGTTGATTGATTCATAACAGTATGACAATGATGTTGACTGTGTATTGACAAAAGTCTTGGTATTGTCCACGGTGGATCTGCCTAGCTGGTAGGCAGTGCCCTAGATTTTGGAAGTTTCTAGTACAAGTCTGGAAAATGGCGTTGGTGTGAATAGAATAGTGTCCTTGATGTCTTTGCATGGGACACATTTTGATGAGGTTAAACCCTTGTAATGTAACCAGCTTCTTAACTTACGAGGGAACGCTGACTGTCCATCAGGAATGACCGATTTGGTCCTTGTTAAGTCAGTATCCATGATGCTGAGGTCTCACATCTGAAGCACCTGGAAGGCAGCAGCAATGACACCAGACATTTGGGTCCCTGTGAACTGGAGACACAGAAGGCTCTGGATAAATGTATTGTGCAGGGGGTGTACTTACAGAGGCCAGGCTGAGGTATTCCATCCTGGGTCACTTGGCTACAGCTGGAGTCTAGTGTAGGTCTCCCCTGTGGGTGCAGAGACCCAAAGACTTGGGCCACATTCTGCTGGCTTCTCAAGTGCAGGAGCAAGGATCTGAAGTGGTGCAGCAGGGACTGCTGTTGGCCTCTGTACATTTTCTTAAGTTCCTGAGGCCTACGTTCCTGTTTCATAGGATAGTGTCCAGATCGGCGGGCAGGTCTTACATCCTTACATCACAGTGCAGAATACTGCAGGCCTGCCAGGCAGTGGCGAATGGAACTACCAGATGGAGCTCGCTAGTGATCTTAGGAAATGCACTTTGTCAATACCCCAAGTACCAAAACGGATGGCTTTCCCATGAAATACTACAAAGGTGAGATTGTTTTAATTGATAATCAGAACTCTGGAACGTAATTGGCATCTTGAGAGCTGATGTTTTTGCCCTTGAAAACAGCTGCTTGTGACCAAAATACCCAGGAAATCTGCCTCAGGATAGCAAAGATACTGAAAGAAAAGCTCTGTAATATTGAGTTTTAATTAAGCTTAGTTGAATTTTAAATTTTTTAAATTAAATTTTAAAATATTTTTAAATTGAATTTAAGACACTGCTTGGGGCACCCCCATCTCATTCTGGAGTGTTGGTTCAAGTACTCTGCCTTGGGGCTCTGTTCAGGCATCCTGGGAAGGCCTAGCTGTTGGGAGACATTTGGGGAATGAACCAACAGACCGAAGCCATTCTTTCTCAGGCAAAACTTGGGGTATTGGAAACACGGATAGGTTAAATGGCAATAAGCCAATGAGCCTAATTATGAAACACTTTAATATAAAGTAATTAGGTTTTTGTCTTTTTTTTTTTTTACAATGCACATTATCTTACTTTCACTGATAGTATAAATAGACACAAAATCTTTTCAACTTCTACAACAGGGTTGAAGATGGGACAGGTCTCTAATCCATATCTGAGTGGGCAAAGCTCGGTTCTGTTTGAGAAATGTGTCCCAGCAACCACTGAAGAAACACCTCTGACCACTACATCAGGTTTCTGCACCTAGCATCCCTGGAAAGCCTGTGAGTATGCTTTGAGTGTCAAAATGAGAGGATAGAATGAAGTTGAAATCCCTGGCTGTGTGGTCTCGTCATTCCAGATGTAGTACTTGGATATTTATATGTGGTTCCCTGACAACTTCGAGCCTCAGTTCTTGGTGCCAAGTGGAGATACTGATTGTCTCACATGCAGACACATGAGTTGTGCCCTTGTCTCAGCAAAACAAGATTTGCTAAGGCTATAGATGGCTTGTCTGGACCTTGGTTGCCATGGGATGTAGTGCGCTAGCTGGCCAGTGGCATTGATCAGGTTAAGCTGTGAGGACATGAAGACGTACACTTGAATCCCCATGGGCATGGTTTTTCTAAGTGCATCCTACTCAAAGGTTGACCAGGCAAGTGTAACTGTAAACCGGAGAACCTGACAAAGGCAAAGCTTTCTCTTAAAAGTAAGAAGAGCTAAAATAACCCTAGGTGTACCTTACTTTGTTAGTGAATTAGACTGGGAACTAGAGGATTAAGGTCTGCACATCTTATTAACTGCTATTTATTTATTTTCACCTTACACATTATGATTATCTTTCTTAACTTCAAAACAAGTCAAAATAGTGTTACTATTCTTCAAAACTTTGAATGTACATAGAAATATATGTAATATGTAGTTATTTTTATCTATATGAAAATCTGTTTCTAGAAGTGACTGATCGGGACGCATGTATCCATAACTGAGTGTGTAAGTTTGAGTCCTGACTTTTCTGGTCCGACTTCTTGCTGATGCACATCCTGGTAAGTAGTGATTGGATCCTTAACACTGGTGGGAAACTGTCAGGGTTCATCAGACTAGAATATGCTTAATGGAGAAATTGTGTTATTAATCATCCACACGGTCAGGATGATGTACTTTGTCTAAGAATACATAACCTTTGATGCCCTGAAGGAAGCAGGGTGTTATACAAAGCTTTCATTAATCCTTATCTTATGTGAAGCTAGCAATTCTTAGAATAATTTTTCTTATGTTAGCAAAACTGAAAAAATAAGGGAGAAGACATTAACACAGAATCTTGATAAGCTTTGATTTGTTACTCGTATCTCATGAACAGAGAGAGGGAAAGATAGTTTGAGGCCAGGGAACTTTTCTATTATTTGTAACCACAGGGAAACGCAAAGTAGAGATACAACACTGGGGTATTCAGTCTGCCACTTGGTATTCCTAGGTTAGTCACAAACCAAGGTGTTTCTGGCCTGTGAATAGCTCCCTTGTCCACCGATGCACTTAGTGCCTTCAAACTCCATCAAGTTCCCAGCTCTTGGCTTCAGTCTAGCCTACCTGATTGTTGCAGACATTGGGAAAGTTAACCCATGGTTGGAAAAGGTCTCTCTCTTTCAAGTAAACATTACAAAAGGAATCATTCTAAATGAATTAATTACAAATGAATTGGACTGGGTGCCTATGGGGGGAGGCAGTGACCTGCCGCCATGCTTCTGTGCCAGTGTGTGCCAGCTGGGATAAGGCAACCTGGGCCCTGAAGATGCAGGCTTGGGTGAAGGGAAGGCTAGGGCCATAGCACTGGTGGGCATGTGGGGACCTGGGTAAAGCACCAGGCCAGCACATGTGCCAGGAGCTTGGGACATTGGTGGGTGGCAGAGCACCTGACCAGCACACCACCTACTGCACTTCTGAAGGCTGGGCTAGGAACAAGGTATGTGGGTTGATTAGAAAAAGGAACAGGGGGTATAGGTAAGGGAGGACCATCCTGGGAATATCTTGCAAGTAAGAAATGACTCCTGAGGGACTCCCAACGACAAGGCACCTGTACTTGCAGGTAAGAGAGGGGACTGAGACCTGGTGGTTTGGAGGGGAGAGACTGCAAGATTTTTATTGGTTAGACCAATGTCCCAGCCCACATGGGAGACCTGAACTAGGCTTGTTAGCATGGAACATTGCTGACCACCACATGCCAGCCCCCATGCAAGCTTGGGGGCCTGTCTGGCAGGGTTAGGTCATAGTACCTGACAGTGAGTGTCATACAGGGTATGAGTCACATTAGTCATATACACCAACCAGCTCACAAGAGAACCATGTCTGGGGGGTGGATTCTGTGGGACATATGTGGGCCCCACCCTGTAGAATTACAAGTCCCGCTGGTTAGCTTAAAAGTTGGTGGGCCTGGCGAAGTAAGCCAGTGGCTAAAGTCCTTGTCTTGCACATGCTGGGGTCCCATATGGGCACAAGTTCTTATCCCGGACATTCCACTTCTCATCCAGCTCCCTGCTTTTGGCCTGGGAAATCAGTAGAAGATGGCACAAAGCTGTGGGAGCCTGCAGCCACATGGGAGACATGAAAGTGGCTCCTGGCTTTGGATTGGCTCAGCTCTGGCCAATTGCAGACACTTGGGGAGTGAATCAGTGGGACAGATCTTCTTCTGTCTCTCCTCCTCACTGTATATCTGACTTTGTGATAAAAATAAATTTTTTTTTAAAAAAAGTTGGAATGGTGATGGGCTGAGCTAGGCATGACCTTTGAACTCACTGATACTCATGGGTGTTGTGGCTTGGAACAGGTGGGACAGGTCCAGGCTGCAGCACCTGCATGAGCAACCTAAAATAAGGTGTGGGGTGGGCTAGGCCACAACATCCACCGGCTCATACAAAGGCCAGGATGGATGGGGTCGGTCAAGCTAGGTAAGAGCCTAACACTCACTGGCATTTGTGGGAAACTCCCCTAGTGTGTCATAGTTCCCACTGGTGAGCACGTGATCCAGACCTGGGCGTTGGGCAGGCTGTGTAAGATAGCTCCATTCGTTGACAAGTGTGTGAGTTGGTTTCGGAAGGGGGCGGGCTGGGCAGGCTGAGCAAACCTTAACCCACTGGCAAGCGCAGAAACCATGGTGGAGTGCAGGTCATGCTGGGCTAGGTTGTCACACATACAGGCTCTCATGAGCCACGGATGGGAGCAGACTGAGCAGGGCCAGGTTGTACCACCCGCCAGCAAGATCTGGGACTGGGGTCAGCTGGGCCAGGCCAGACTACAGCTTCCAAAGGCAAGGTCAAGACAGCTGAAGGGCTATGCCAAGTTAGGCTAGAGTAACCACTGGCACATGCAAGATGTGTGGCTGGGAGCAGGCCTGGTTGGGGAGCAAAAGAAACATCCTGGCTGGGCTGTGTTTCCCATTGGTGATTGTGGGGGTTGCCATCTGGTCTGGACATGGCTGCAGTGTTCCATGGCATGAGTGTGGACTAGGTCTGGGGTGTGCCAGACTGGGCTAGACTCCAGCACCTACTGGTACTCATGAGAACCAGGTTGGGTGTAGGAT